TGTTGCTGTTGCTGTTGCTGTTGCTGTTGCTGTTGCTGTTGCTGTTGCTGTTGTTGACAATGTTCGCGATCGTTTTCGCTACTCCCCTACCTGCCGCGTAATGCATTCATGTTTGAACATGCGTGTGCTGGTGGTGTAAATACATGTTCGCACAATGCTAGTGACTAGTGGCAACAATGAGGGGGGTTAGGTGCTGTTTTCCTCCCAACGACTGCCAGAAACACCCCTAAATCCTTCCACGCCCAAACCCTAGGAACTACCTCAATAAAACCCGACAGCAGCCTACGACGCCATTCCCCCTAAACTCTAAAACCGTGGACTTGGACCCTGGAGGCCTAAAACTAGGTATCCTACAGAGTCCGAGCTGCCCTTGTTCTTCTTGGGTTCCCTTCATGAAGCCAAAGGAAAAAGGGTACCCTTATTATTTAGGGGCTACTGGGGAACCTAGCGGATGAAGGTGGTGTTGGCTGAGACTTCTATGGCTTCAGGCTTAGGGTTCAGAGTGCATGATCTCGGCACTTGTGGTTTATGGTTGTTGAGGGGTTTAGAGCTTAATGCGTCTTCACTGTTACTGGGAGTTCGAGGTTAGGTGTTCAGAGTTTGTTTTTGAAGGTTCTGGTGTTTTGAGGTTTACAGTTTAGGCTGCAGGCCTAATTTTCATAACTTCCACGGCTTTGGGTCGTTCGGATGTTCTCAGTTCAGAGTTTTCTTCATCCTTGTACAAGCCTGCCATAGCAGCTCCTACAAATGAGCAACCCATATACAGAACCCGTACGGTAACCCCCTTTAGAATCCATTTGGCAGCCCTGATAGAACCGTGTCGTCTGATGGCGTGTTTAATGCCTCTGGCAATGGTTGCATCATATGCAGGAAGCCGGGTATCGGAATTTCGCGGCGCGGGTGGTCCCAACGCTGTACAAAGGCTGGCTGTCGGGTTCAGATTCAGATCAGAAATGAGATTTGTGCGAAGTCGTCGAGGTTCTTGGTGGACAGATTTGTCATGCTATTGCAGTGAAGACCTCCAGAGCCCTATTCAACTTTGTCAGGCCCCTTCTTAGCTTCAGGGGAGGTACCGGAGTCCCGGTGTTTGGTTTAGGGCTTTGGGTTTAGCGTTTAAGGTCTACCCTAAATCCGAAACCCGAAACCCTAAACCCTACCTTAACCAACCATAACCCCGTTTTTGTAGGTTCTTATTATAATCCCTAATCTGGGATTTATATGGGCCCTACAAAAAAGTAGGTTCTGGTAGGTTAAGGTAGCCCTAAACTCCAAACCCAGGGGAGCTGACAGCATTCTGCCTCGAGAACCAGCGTTCGTGGTTGCCACTTATGGTTTGCACCTCGAGTCGAATGGAAAGGACCCCGCCAAAAACCCGAAACCCCAGACCCTATACGGGCCTATAACCTAAAGACCTAGCCTTATAACGTTATACCCTGCCCTGAACTATAAAAGCCTAAACTCGATACCTTGAGCCCTAAGTAGAGGAGCCTTGAACCCTAAGCCCTTAACACTTAAATGTACTAAACCCTGAACACCAACGCTACCCTCTCTGAAAGCGCTGACGACTTTGGACCCCTTTTCGTGTAACTGTGGGACCCCTTCTGGGTTCAGGGTCCGGGTGCCCATATCGTAGATACTACTTTGGCCCTAAAGCCCTATTCCCTAAGCCTTAAACCCCTAAACCCTAAACCCAAAGCCTTCAACCCGAACAAAACCCTAAACCCTAAACCCTAAACCCTAAAACCCTAAACCCTAAACCCCTAAACCCTGCCTTCAACCCGAAGCTCTAAACCCCACCGGCCATCAGATAAGCGCGTGCGTCCCGTATTGGACCGCGTCGAGCAGTACGCGAAGTGGAAGGAGGACACCACAGCGACTTAGGGCTTAGGGGTTTAGGGGTTTGCGGGTTTAGGGGTTCAGGGGTTTAGGGTTGTTTAGGG